AGCTACATTGACACATGGATGTATGTAGAAATATTTGATTATAAAAATAATTAAAAAAACTGAATGTGAATTTTTATTTTTATTTTTTTATTTTGATTACAGTTTGATTCCACACCGTATTTTTGGTACAAGTATGGAATTTTCAGCGTGGATATTGGTAGCCCAAATTTTGCAGGCCGACCATAGATATCAGCTGTGCGTCAGCGTGGGCTCGAACCCCGGACCATGTGCATAGTCGGCGAGAGTCCTAACCACTGTGCCACCGACTTGGGTTGTGAAAGTATATTCAAAAATAGAGTACACGGATTTTGTGGGGCTAACAGGGATGGTCAGAGGAGTACCGTATAAGATCTCTAACTTTTAGTTAGTCACTTACTACCTCTAACCCGTTGTGGACAAAATATTTGTTCAGCAGAGATGAGAAAATTTCGGGGTAGAACTGTTTCTAATTTCAGCTAGAGGACTGTTCTAAATACAGCGGCATTTCACAGTGAAGGAACTGGATCCGTATTTTGTATGATTGCGGAGCACATTAAAAGATGAAGATATATTTCTGAGGTTACATTTCTTAAGTGATGTAAAAGACAAGTCATTGTGGGGAAATATACAAGCCCTTTAGTAATCCTAAATGAAATTTTTAGGTAAAACTTCAGTTGTCTGAATGATAAGGGTCCCAAGTTGAATATTATGCCTCGTGGTAGTCCAGTGAAGAAACCCTGCATGGAGTCATTGTGGCTTCGCTGACAATTGAATAGAAGCACTCCATTTATACAAGACGTATCCAGTGGTGAATACACTGTTAACCCACTTAGCTCAGCTCCAAATTACTTCAAGAATTTTTCGCTTTGAAATGAACCATGCACATGTATGTTGTGTGAGTAATTGAGGATACGCCTCAGCATCTAAATTTAATGGTCCGTCCATCCCACTAACCCACATTATAATAGTCTGATGGTTGTTTACGAATGCGATAAAAATATTTCGTGGACCACGAGTAGCGCTTCGTACTAAGCTGAAGTATGGGCACTTAGTGAAAGTATTTCCGAGAACTAATACCATGAGATTAGCTTTTTCTAATACAACGGCGCACCCATCAACGCAGTATAAAGATAATGACGAATTGCTATTACAAGCATTGTATCTAATATGTGGGGAATGCTACTGAACGCAAACTTCACGGCAACCGGCGCAAGTCTTGCATGTTATTGCACCAGTGATATAAGCATACCAGTTGTGCTACGGCCCTATGTGAATAGTATCAAGGCCCCGTAACAATCGCTTGGTGGGAGGTAGATGTGCTGAAAGACTGCTTACAGACATTATGTATGACGGAATCTAGTAGAATGACTACAAAAACTGATAACCTGTAATGGGGAAGACAAAAATGAAATAATTAAGGGATACATAATGCATAAGATAAGTATTTCAGTTAGGTGTACTACAGGGATAGAAAATCACTCAATTCATTCACTTCTATCCACACTATTTCTTATGTCCGCGTTATTGACTTTTGGTTCATGGTTTCTTCTACAGTGAATTTTATCTGGACAATTTGAAAAATTGGAAGATGTAGAGTACTTAGAAAACGGCATCATTCATTATTTTAGCCGACTAGTGCTGTCAGCCACGTCTCGTAAACCGTCAATGCCGGGCTCTTGCTACGCTGGGACTCACGCTGTTCCTTGAAGTTTCTCAGAAACGCTTAGTAATAACGGACGAAAAAACCAAAACACCAATTGGCGACTCGAAAATTCTTTATTGTAACACCAACATATAGGCAGCTTTAAAATTAAGCTTGAACTAAGGTCTATGAACAAATATTACAATAATAAATCACAATATTACTTCTGATGGTTTTCTGCTGACTTCTTTCTGAACGGCGACCGATGAGACGATGACTGGTGTATTGATGCCTCCGCGAAAATTGGGAAGTTGGTTTTGAGCAAACAACCATGAATTGGCCGTTCAATCTTCAACTACATTCACAAATGCCTTAGGGAGTTGTGACACTGGGCAGCTGCAGTGACAAATCTGACTAACCGAGTTTTAACATACAACTCTGCACGGAAGTTCATTAGTTCTATTAGTTACACTCCACACTCGAAAAATATTATATTTGGTCGGTAATAAACAAAAAACATGTGTTTCGGCTTAGCATTTGGGCCACAGGATAAAATCAACCAACCCATGAAACATGACAAGGCAAACAAAGCGTGAAACCTTTCTCGAGTAAGAGGAGAGATTATTGTTAGACAACTCTTCAGTTAGACGAGAACCAAATGAAAAAATACGATTATCTTTGTTGACGTTCCGGTGACCTTTTTAAGATTTAGGATTTTTTATGTTTTGGCTATACCTAGACTTTACATTATTCTGACTGACTGACTTCCAAAATAGAAGTTTGCACAGAAGCGCACCCGTTTAAGTTACCACATCTCATGTGGCACACAAAGGTAGAGAAAAATGAAATAAAATAGAGCTCTATTCAGAATAAATGTGAAGGAGAATGGATGGTGATAAGTAAAAAACATAGGATTGATTAGATCCATAGGATTACGCTGAGTGAATGCATCTGTATCACTGACGACGACTCGGAGTCATGTCGCTACCTAACACTATACGCTTAACGCCAATATTACTCGCCATATTTCACTACTTAACAAATGAAATAGGGAACAGACAACTACGACCACACACCAGTGTTACTTTCTTGTCCCTATGCTTCATTGGTCACTCCTAACAACCTATGTGGGCAGTATCATTAGCATGCACTAAATTAAGGGGACAGTGTCCTGGCTAGTCAATAAAGCCCATGACACGCAATTCTATAAATATATGTATTATGAAATTGAACTAAAATAAGGATGACAGCTGTGGAAATGAGTCTTGTGTGGCATATTTCTAGGAGATATGAGTTCCTTCACAGCTTAGTTTCAGCGTTAAGTGAATAAAACGCAATCTGTAGAATTCATGAAATTCATAAAATGATGTACTGCCTTTTCAAAACACCTAGTTAACGTTTCCTCAGTAACGTCAGAAGTGAGCATTGTGATTGTGTAAATTTGACAGATTGTGAACTGCTGTCAATGAAATGGGAACAATTCTTAGAATTACGAGTTATGATTTAAGCTTGATTGCGACATTCAGCAATTGTTATATGATATGATGTGTCCAAGTATTACGACACTGGACTTCATACTGTCCTTAAAAGACTTTCAGGAACTGTGCGTAATAAGCAACGCAAAAAAACCAGAGCACCAATCGGTGACTCAAGAACCCCTTATTCCTGCAACAATACAGAGCCAACCATCAGGTCATTGTACACAAAGTCTAAGAATAAATGTCATAACAATAAATCACAGTAACACTTTCTGACAGCTTTCCCTTTCCCCCAACGAACAGTGAACGATGAGACGATGACTGCCGGATTGATGACTCCAGCGAAAAATATGGAGTTATGTTTTAGCAAACAGCCATGAATTGGTCGTTCGATTTTCAACTACATTGACAGGGGAAAGGCATTCATAATCTCTTACTTCACGTGGTACTGCAGTGCAATTCGATGCGCAATAGTATTTATACGAATAAACTGATAAATAAAGTCCTCCTCACCTTTTTAACAACCTGTTTATATTCCAAATAAGGCAAGAAATTTACTCCACGTATGAGCCTAAGTTATGCCTATGAAATCGGAATATTGTTGCACTAAATCTTCCCTCAAAATAAAGGCCACTTGGAACACAAGTTCAAAACAATGCTACACATTATGACCATAGTGCTAATTTTATTTGTCTGAGAAGGAAAAGTTGACTGTTATGACTACATGAAAACTGAAATTAATGCTGAGACTGAGTAATGAATACCAACGACTACCAAACAAATTAAGGCAATAGCGTCTCAACAAATAGGCCGAATATACCGGTACGATTACATAAAAACTCAAATGCGCGTTTAAATTTTGAACTTCCCACCTTATATAAACCATCTTGTTGCACACATAACAGTATGAAGCGACATTTCCTGATACGAGTGCTGAAAATAAAACGCAGTTCAAGCACGTTATACCGCCAATATTAAACGAGTCAAAAATGCTTTTTGATGTGAAATTTCACTTAAAAAGCAAATAAAAACTCGCTACTAAAACAACATGTCAGCGTATTTGAACGTCACAATTAGCGAGGATATGAAATAAACCCACTTCATCTGTCTCAGCACGGTCTCGTCCACTTTATAGTGTTCAAACAACTGGTGCATGTGTCTGAGAAGCTGCGATGTTCTACGGGCTCCTGGCTCACAGCCCGTAAGAAAGTGAAAAAGTTACCTTCGTCCACATCTCTTTGGAGGCTCTTGCTACGCCTTGCCGTTATGGGCATCTGCAGTGGAAAAGAACAATTATATTCGTAATAACGCGTAAAAGTGTCTTGATATCTCAGACGAATTATAGCGAAAAAAGACATGCACTTGAAGAAACAATATATAAAAATGACTTTCATTTTCGTTTGGGAGCCTAAAAGGTTTGAAATCTGCTAGTGACTTTTATATTTTCAGGCTGTAAATTGACTCAAGGCAATGGTTAATAGCAGGGTTAAACTTTAGGCACCTCTATCAGCCGACGAATGACCTCGAAAGCATCATTCAGGTGAAGGAAGCATTTTCGTGTATGGGATATATATTTATGAAACAGTGCATAGAACCGTATAAAAGTGTTACATAGGATATCTTCCTTTCACACGTGGTTAAAGTAGCTCTCAGTTTTAGGCTGCAGTCACACATTGTAATACAGTAATATTCCCTGAGCAATAAATTATCTTCAAAACGTCATCGGTAAATGTTAATGTATAACACTGTGAGACTGCAACATAAAACTGAGAGCTACTTTAACCACGTGTGAAAGGAAGATATCCTATGTAACACTTTTATACAGTTCTATGCATTGTTTCATAAATATATATCCCACACACGAAAATGCTTCCTTCACCTCTATAGGCATGGAAACGATGGCGATAGTCTTTATCTTCATTCGATTTTATTATTATCATCATCATTTCAATGTCTGCTTCAGTAACGTTCACTACGTATTAGCCGCAACTTTTATGCTACGGAAAATCTTCCAATCACCTTATACATAAATGACCTTCGTGTGCTGAGCATCTCAGTCAGCCGTTTGTGCCTCAAACCTACGTTGGCGGATGCTGTATACAGAAATGGACCGTCCCAGAGCTGTATGCAGTGTTTGTAGTAGAGAAGTTCCTGATAACCAAGCCTCCTACTGGTATAGTTGGTGGAAGTTTAGCATTCTTCAAATAGTGTTCAGTGTGAATCTCTGTTATACTGTAGCGATAAATGCAGAACATTGGATTGGGAATCTCCAAGCAACCCTGATCATAGTCACCAACTTTGGTGCAGTAGGATGAAAGAGTTTATGGATTTTGAACCTTTACTTCAAAGACTACCCTTCAACTTTGCCCCAAGTAAATCACAACACGTATATTCTAAAATATTAAGTGACTACTGCTTCAGACTTCTCTCATGTTAAACTGGAGCAGTTACTCTCCCATCTTGGTGTATTTCAGCAAGGTCTTTGGAAGTATGAGTTCTGCCCGCAGTTTTGTCAAATTTCCCCAGGTATTCGGTTTGAGTATATAATATAAAGTGTTCCTGTTCATGTATCAACTGTTAACGTTTTATGAATTTTTTTACCTCCCCTCACTCCTACCTCTCATATGCCGTTTTCAGTTTTTCTAATCTCAGAGTATAGCTTTCAGCATGTTTATGGGGTAGTTTTCCCACCTAGTGATCATTCATTCCCTCACAACTCTGATCCTTGTTTGAACAACTGACTAATATAAATCTACTGCGTAAGGTAGTTTCCAAATCGTTCATCGTAAGGTAAAAATGCGGATTTTCAACGCGTTGGTGTGGCAGTTTTGGTTACGTTCAGCTTAATAGATGGATACAATCAATTCTTCTTAGGAGATGATTGAGTCATGACTCATCCTCAGCTCGGTGAGACAAGGTTTTACAGACGTAAATCAGGACTGCTCTCATCAAAACGATGTGAGCCCGATGCTTGACAGTCAGGGCCGCGGCGTCAGAGATTGTCCGAGTTGACGCATGCTATCCTGGCTTTCACTGTGTGGCTAGAGACTTGATCCGTTGCACCAATTACACCCACACAAGTATCTAGATGCACGAACCAATTTACAGTTTTAGGCGGTTCACATGCGAGAATCCGTGAGGTTACTGGCTCCTGCCAATTTTGCAAGAGTACTTTGCACTTAAACGGTGTAAAGTACACATCGTACTTACAGACGCACCGCCAACTGATTAGGTGCAATTTGGTAGCCTGCATGTTACCGCACTGCAAGACTCTTCCGTCTGCATATTCGAGACTGAGAAGTATTTAACCGGGAAAATCTAAACCACCGCCATCACACATACCCTTTAGATTTGTCTCCAGAATGTCGTAGGTAGCGATGAGGTTAGGGCAATTCTGTCTAACCACACTCTTGGTTAACAACAGGGTAATAGTTGTTCGTATGGAACAACTGTTACGGACAGTTTCAGAGGGCATTTCTGTCGAGTGAACTGATGGCATACAATACGTGTGACAGTGTTCTAACAGTTGACTAGGAGTAGACGTATGATCAATGCATCCGCGGCCTGAACGAAACCAAACCTATCCCTAGCAAATCAGTTTCTTACCTGTTTTATACAGCCTGCGAAGTAAGAATGCCAATATTATGGATGCGGCTGGTAGTAAACTGATACCCCTATGACTGTCACGTGTGTTACGTAGGTACGATAATGGCTGTATTCCACATTGATAGAATATTCCATTTCCTCTGTCTATCTGTCTGTTTTCGACATAGAACTTTGCACTAATGTGCGGCAGTTCAAGTCGCCACAGTCCATGCAGCACACAAAGCAACAGAAGAAAGTAGAGGAAAAGTATAACAGAGACAGTAAGCAGGGTGTGAGACAAAGGAAGAATAATAACGAAGAACAAGACAGTTTCATTGGAAATCATAAATCACAAGGAGTGGATGTATCTGCGCCACTGAGAACGATTTTGAGCCATGTCACCAATTGTTTACAACCATTTGTTTTTACCGTCCCGAGGACCCCAACCAAGAGGTCCACACCTTCCTACGTGGCTTAGACTAACTGTTGTAGATTTCATTGACTGGTGACAAGTTTTTGTTTGACCTCCGCTAGCTTTTTTCCAGCCTGACCATATGTCAGCTAACATTGGCCGTCGAGGAAGGCGATGACTAGGCATGCATGAGTAACACATGTCCTAACCATCTCAGTCTTTGTAACTTCACGACTTCGTCTATTGATTTCCCCTGTTTACCTAGTACTGGATGCCTAACCTCAATATTGGTCACCTTATTATGCCACTTCACATGGCAGATAGAACGCAGGCGCCTATGATCAAAGACAACTAATCTTTTCATGTCTTCCACTCTCAGTGGCCAGGTCTCACAGCCTGACCTTATATCCGCTAATATTGCTCGTCGAGGGAGGCGATGACTAGGCATACGTAACACATGTCCTAACCATCTCAGTCTTTGTAACTTCACAACTTCGTCGATTGATTTCCCCTGTTTACCCAGAACTCTACGCCTAACTTCAATGTTGCTCACCTTATTATGCCACTTTACACGGGAAATAGAGCGCAGGCACCTATGATCAAAGACAGCTAATCTTTTCATGTCTTCCAGGTCTCACAACCATAAAGGAGGACGGAGCGGACTGATGAGCAGTACACCCGCCCTTTGGTCGATAGTCGAATATCTCGTCTACGCCAGAGTCGGCGTAAACTGGCAAATGCGAAACGAGCCTCCTGTATTCGTGCTGAGATTTCGTCAGAGATCAACCCGTTGGTACTGGCTGATGGTACTTCCCAAATAAGAGAAGCGATTAACGTGCTCTACCACTTCACTTCCTATTTTTAAACTAGGAGTCGATGTAGTCCAGTCCTGTAACATCATCTTGCATTTGGCGGGAGCGAGTCGCATGCCAAACATTCGTAGATTGCGGCTCAAGGTGTTTAGAAGACTGCATTTCGTCAGCGTCTTCGCCTAGGAGGACTATATCGTCTGCATATTCTAAGTCAACGAGATTATTCCCTGGTAGCAAGTCAATCCCTGAGTTGCTGAAGTCACTTAGGGTTAAGTCCATTAACACATCTATGATGAAGTTGAATAGAAAAGGGGATAATGGGCATCCTTGACGGACACCACTAGTCGTCACCAGTTCAGATGACAGCTCGCCGTAAGCCCTCACCTGGCTGTATGAGTACGAGTAGAGTGCCTTAATCAGTGCAATGTATTTTCTCGGCATTCCCTTTACAACCAAGCACGGCCAGAGAACCTCCCGGTCGACAGAATCGAATTCCGCCTTTAGGTCAAGAAATATAATGATTGTTGGACGCCGGTAAGAATGCCTGTGTTCTAGAATCTGTCGGAGGGTGAAGATATGATCAATACACCCTCTTCCTGGTCTAAAGCCTGCCTGGCTCTCTCGTGTTTGTGCCTCTTGAGCACCACTTAGTCTACGCATAATTATTGAGCCTAGGACTTTAGATACTATATTAGTCAAGCTAATCCCTCTGTGATTATCACAGGAAGACTTGTCTCCCTTCTTGTATATCGGGAGAATCAGTGACTTACACCAACCCGATGGGACTTCTTCTGATTCCCAGACGCTGCCTAGAACCTAGACAGTAAACTGTCTCCACCGTACTTAAATACCTCTGGAGTCATTCCATCAGGTCCCTCTGCTTTGCCTAGTTTCAGATTGGTGACAGCTTTAGTAACCCCAGTTAGGGATGAAGGACCTGTGTCTATATCCCATTCAGGGAGGTGTTGGATGTTCGGCAGGTTGAGCGTGGCTGTGGGCCAATTAAACTGCTCCTCATAATGCTCTTTCCAGCGTTCCAGTCGTCTATCCTGGGAGCTAATTATAGTGCCGTTTTCCTCCGAGATTGTTTCACGTATGACTTGACTTCTCCCACCCGTTTCCCTGATGAGTCTGAAGAGTTGCCTAGTGTTGCCTCACCTTCCTCATTAACTAAATAAAGCAGTTAATTACTTTTTAAGCGTTTCGTCACCATTTTTAAAAGAACCATAAGTAGGTTTTCGAAGCCGGTATCCTCATAGCATTTCAGTACTTGGAAATCGCTTCAGATCTCCTCTTCGTTTGGTGGTGCTGTCAATCTTAGCCGGCTAAACTGCTACTTGGAATGCTCTACGCGTCATTCCTGTCGTCTGTTCATCTGCGTGGCATACCGTGTTGCTAAAGCCGTGCTTCTTAACACCAGTGGCTAGAATAATCTACAACACCTTACGGCTATTGCCAGATACGGGTGCTGATTCCGACTCATATGCACGTTCTGAACACCAGGTCTCGCGGTTCCTTACCTAAACACTGATCTTGCACACGAGAGCCTTTCTCACGTTATTCTCGTTAGCCTCTGTAATGGACTGATGGGTGTCTAGAAGTTGTAAGGAACTCGCAGAAATCCGGTAGTTATTAGTGGAGCAGTTTCAAGCTACAAATGGCTTGCAGTAAATATTACTGTATAACATTTTGAGACTGTCAAAATAAATTTTACCTATTGATATAAGATTAGAACTTGTACACTGTGTTAGAGTATAATTCCATTATTGTTTATTGCTAATAAATTGTGCTTGAAACGTCATCAGTAAATATTACTGTATAACACTGTGAGACTATCAAAATTAATGTTACCCACAATGGAATTATACTCTACCACAAAGCACAAGTTGTATTCTTATGTCTTGATTAGAGGTGTTTGGCAGTAATGTAGGTGAGTGAAGATGAAATATCAAAAATCATTATAAAGGTTGCATTGGTCTGACTGTTTAATAACTTTATTTTAGGTGCTGATCTTTTTTATTTTCGGAACTATGGACGGCAACTACTATAGACGTAGAGGATTTTCCTCCTGCTAACTGGTCTCCATCCTCATCTTCCACATCTTATGAAGATGCGTTAATTCGAGCCTATGTTTCTCCATCACTTGCTGTAATCATGAGCCTGTCTCCACTATTCGATTCTCCTGCACCTGATCTTCAAGAGCCCACTTTGGTGAACGTAAACTTGCGTGGTTGGATGGACTACTACAAATGGCGAGGTCTTTGTTCTTTTGAGGAACAGATTCTTTCTAATCCTCTCGCATTATTATTACACTGGCCTCTTACTCTTTACCACATTGTAGCTCACAAACTTCCATATTTGAGTAAGTCTTTAACATATCAGTTTTTAAAAGCAATCACTATACAGATTTGTCATTAAGCTGAGGCTGTGAGATAATTAATGTTGTACCTTTTGATCAATAGACTGCTGTTAAACTTCCTGCCTCAGTATATAATTCTGATTCCAATTTCTGCCTAAATCCATAAGTCATGTCGGTAGCTGGACTAGATGAATTAAGTTTCGCTGTAATAATTATGTAGAACTAATGTAGCTTGTTTGGTCGTTGGTGAACGGTAGAGTTAATGTTCCACTTGGTGTATTTCTGGATGGGCAATAGCTCTGTAGCTTGAAGATAACATTATTATTATGTCATTATTCCCTCGGGTTACAAGTGGAAAATAGGGCTTCAACAACACATTTCCACGTTGTTCTATTTTCTGCTGTCGTCTTCAGGTGAGTCCACGATTCCCCGTAATCTCTCATTTCCTCTTCACACGATCTCGTCGATGTCACTCAAGGACGGCTCACTCGTCGCTTCCCTCTTGGATTCCATTCGAGGGCCTGGAGTGCGATGTCATTCGGCGGCCTCCTTGACGTATGTCCGACGCATCTCCATTTCCTCATATATATCTGTTGGGCGATGGGCTCTTGGCTGGTCTTTTGCCATCTAGCTTGCATAAGAGGAATGATAATTACAAGATCATAAAGAGTTAAATGAATAACTTCTTAATGATATATTGCGTATTCCTCGCGATGTACATCCTAAGCCTGTTAATAGGTTTTATTTTCTTGACGTTGGTACTCAATGTGACATTAATATCTCAGGGTATTAAGATACACTCACTCCTATCAACTACGAGAAAGAATCGGTTAGGATACTAAAGAACTGTGTAAGAGGGCTTTTCTCGGAGAAGAAACGTGAAAACGTAGCCATAGTAGCCAGAATTGCCTTGTGATAAGGAATGTCTCTTGATAAACATAGAGTATCTAGTATGGAGAAAGTCGATTATAGCATAATGCAGAAAAAGACAGTCTTTCTACAAGTTACTTCCAAACGTCGCCAGATTTCTGGTAGAATAAACTGTATGCTTAAAACTAAGGTGACACGTCAACTTGAGCCACCTCTGGTGCCGTTGTCACGTCAGCCTGGCTGTCATAGGTCGAGTTTACAATGCTTCGGTGGGCGCAGTCTTTCTCTACGCCTGTAAAACCTGGCTTCTTCAAGATGAGGATTTACGGAGACTGTCGCTGTCTTTGTAGAATTGCTTGTCTCTGATGGCATCATCGTGTGAGTAATACTGAGGTCCAGGACGTGTGGTTGGAAACAGTGGTAATCACCATTCATTGTGTTGTCGTCATCTGGAAATACCGGCTTCTGTGGCTTGCTGGACATGTGCTACGAATATCACCGCAAAAACTTGCATTTCGGTCTCTGTTTGCTAGCCAGTCATGGGACGGGATGGAAAAGGCGGAGAAGTGATCACCTCATGATGTGGCATCATGGGATGAAGGATATTTTCAGCAGGCTAGCATCGGTTGGTGCATCACGACTCCCCCCCCTTGTTGGGGTCTGACAGATAGCCCGGAGCATTATCACGTATGTCTGAGAATCGCAATAATCAATGACAAACGTGCTGCAGTTTCCTTCTTTCTTCCCCTTTTAAAAATAATTGAGGAATATTGTTTGGTCTTGTTAAATGTTACTGCTTCCTTTCCGGACGAAGTCCTTATTCATTCTCTACTTATTTCCATATGTTGTTGGTTTATTATTTTTATTGTGGTGCATCTCGGTGCATGCACTGTACCAGGTTTTTTGCTAATAAATAAATTGCCGAATTATTATTAATGTTATGCTTTTTTCATTTACAAATACAAATCTACTTGCCACTATCTTCTTAATAAACAATAGTATTAATCTCTGACTACTTACTATACTTTTTTTCCTTAGATCCTTTCTGCATCCCGAAAATCTTGATTAATCGGAAGTTAATCATTCACTTGATAGGCGTTGAAAAGGAGCTGTCTCTGTTACCAATATTCAAAGTAAGTATTTCTTGACCATTAGTAATAATACGGAACTTCTGAAAATTTTATACATTTTGTGCGCTACTCAGCAGTTCGCTGTGGGAAAAACATTGCCATTGTTGAGAGTAGAAGACATGAAAAGGCCAACTGGTGAACTGTTTTTCATCATAAATTTCTACGTTCTATCTAAATCCCGTGTCAGTTGGCATAATAGGGTGAGTAACATTAAGGTGAAGCATCGATCGAGTGAAAGTAGTAGGTAGGTAAGTAGTAGGTAAAATCAATCGATGAGGTTGTATCGATTGAGATGGTTAGGACATGTGTTACACATGCATCCCTCGCTATCGGTCGACTGCCTTCCTCGACTGACAGACAATGTTAGCTTAGCTGACATAGGATGGATCAAGTCGGAAAAGAGCTAGCTTCATCAATCAATGAAATTCATGACAACAGTTAATGTGAGTAAGCTAGCCAACCACTCAGGCAACGATATGTAGACTGCTCTTTTTCCCTCACACTTGTGTCTATTATCTGTCTTTTGAATTTCTGCTGCCTTCTCTTGCCTTGTGTGTGTGTGTGTGTGGTACATGGAGGGAGGAAAAGTGGCAGATCTACCTGGTGCACATCTGTGTAAAGTCCTATGTTGAAACCAGGTAGTCAGTCAGTATACGTTTTGTGTAGTTTATTATTTTATTGCTAGCCTGTGAATACTGTTCCACTGTGAAGAGATCATCTGCACACGTTTAACGTGTGGTAGATAACAAATGCTAAACGTGTTTTTTCTGTGTCTGTTAGATTTTGCGATAGGCAGAGTTTCAACACAAAACGTTTCACAGAAGTACAGCAGTTTCAGTTGCCACACTCCATGTGGTACGCAAAAGTAGAGAAAATGAAAAAAAATTCGAAACGACTATAACGTACAAGAATGTGAAGAAGAAAGATTAGTAACATGGAAAAACCATGACGCGTTTTAACGGATATGATATATGATAAAGATTGAATGCATGTGAGCCATTGTGAACAGTTTCGAGCTATATCCCCAACAGTCTAAAGTCCTTATAAGTCCTCAGCGTCTCGACGCCAACGAGACAGTCTACACCTGCCTACCTGGCTCAGACCCTCTGACAAAGACTTTATGTATTGATGCTAGGTTCTGGTTTTAACCACTCCTAACTCTTTTCCAACCTAATCTTATGTTAGCCAACACTGCTGGACGAAAACAGTCGGAAGCTTGCTCGGTAAGTGGAAACAGCGAACTTTTTGGTGGCAGTAGCCATCACTTTCTTCGTTTTGACATCTTCTGAAACGGGGATATGTTCAATGCTCATAGTGTCTTAATCTGTGGACAAAATATCAGCTACTTCGTGAAACTCTACAAAAGATGGTATATTGTTATACAGGTAGTTGAATTAGTGACAGTAACCCGTTGCACGAGAGGTGGCTCTCGTTGCCCAATTGGTCTAGTGGATAACGCTTTACCATTTGAAACTATGGGCACTAAGCTCGGGCCTCGGTGGAAACACCATCACTCATTGGCGAATGCAGGTACATCCAGATGACGAGTCCCAAACGAGACGAAATGCGCATACTGGATTCCACTGCTAGTCATCATCCACCAATTTAATTCTAATTACATGCCCAGACATCGTCGAAGCATCTACACAAGAAGCCGATATGTCAACCTGACACCGATCACTTCTGTCCAGTCAATCAACGGGGAAATCTAAAATTCAGTTAAAAGTGACAGTAACAGTTTAACATGTTCTCAATAGAATAGTGTACCCAACCTATTTTTAACCTTTTAATAATATAATAGTGTTAATACATGAATTTAAAGGTGTATTTTTAAAATATACGTGAAATTAATGATAGTTTTACCGTTTCTTGATATTAAAATGTCGTCCATCTGGTTGAAGGATATATAAACTGATTATTGTTGCAAGCGGAAGTTGTTTTTCTTTCGCCCACAATATTTCTTAGGCTTATTTTAATAGTTAAATGTATCTAAAAGCTCGCACAATAATAATAACCTGCTTTATTCAAGAAAACTGTACTTATCATACAGTATGGAATTTTCAGCATTTGTCGCACACAATATTACATCTAACCTTTTTACTCAAAATGTAAATTAAATTAACCACATGAAAGTTTCCACTTTTACAGTAGGAATATTGTCAAAAATGTGCAAAGCATAAAGTGAGAATAATAACTATAATAATGGTAGTAATAATGACAGTAGATTTATTGCAAACAATATTATCGATACAGTATGGAAATCTTAGCGAGTTATAGAGTACTAAATCTAATGTTCTCTTGACATAGGGTGGTCATTTGAAAAACAAAAAAATAATAATCATTACAGAGCTTAATAAGTGGTGTTTACACTTATGAAAAATCAACTAAAAAAATTAAAAGGACTGTACATGTAAGCAGAATAATAATAACAGTAAAACTTGTTAGTATAAGGGTGGAGAAGATAGTTTATTTACTAGTGGAAAAGGGGTTAGCTATTTACTCCGTGCTTGATACTACTTTTATCCCATAAAATACGTGCCAAATATGGTATCGTGGACGTGGACGCATAAATGTCTTTTGAAATGACTTCTTTCTCTACCTGAGGAAGAGATGCAAGGTGAAAGCTGCATGTAAAGAGGATGTTTATAGTCTGACAAAATCCTTTTAGCGAATTTATGGTATGAAATTAATTGCTCAATGTCACCGATATGACCCAATGGGATACCACCACTCGCCCTACTAGTAGTCTTCAGAGTTTTAAAAAAGTATATTTGCAATAATGTTTTTGTTAAGCAACCCAGCAAGGAATAAGGGTGAGCAATAAAGAAAAATAGGTAAGATGCAAGAGTTGAAAAATTGCAAGTAGAGAAAGCGGGGGTTGACTTTTGTCCTACTGACTTACCTTCCTGCTGTAAAATTTCCAAGATGAATATGACTATCCTTCAGAGATAAGGTTTACAACTATTATCTAGGTGTGTGTGGCAACAGGCGATCCAGTACTTGACTTATTGATTGTTGACTGACTTCCGATTGGCACAGGTTCGCTCACTGCACTACCACCCATCAGTTAATCGGACTTTACAATGTCCATTTTCATCATTTATTCTCGTAATAAAATGTATTTGTATGTTAGAATTCTTTCTGTAGATATACTTAATAATGGCTGTAAGCAGCTGAATTTTAATAATAATAAATAATTTTTTCTTCACGTTCCCCAGTGGAACATAGGGCTCCAAGCTAGTGGCTTGAAGTTTCTGTAGCAGAGTTTATTTTAGAGGATGGGGTTGCTAGCCCCATGCCCAACCTTTCTTCTTTACCAGGATTATTTCTGGCTTAGCGAGGTAAAGGAGTGCGTCGGCCGGGGATCGAACCCTGGACCATGTGCATGGTCGGCCGAGCGTCCTAACCGCTATACCACAGCAGCTGATGACGGTACCATTTTATTCAGTGAAAGCTGTTGTTCTTGCTTTATTCAAATTCAATAAGGAGAATAAATGTATGAAATATTTGTCGCTTTTAGTTATGCTTAGCTAGTATGCAGTATGCAGTTTCTACTTAGGAATGATGAAACAAGTTGAAAATTGCCTTTCTTATATCGACCATAGGTTGTTCAAATTTCCCCGTTATAAACAGTAATAAACAGTAATCTGCAGAACTGTATGTAGTATTTAATATCCTTGCTTGAATTCTGATTTCTATTTAGGAACTTGATTATTTGTTCAAATCTCAACTTCGAATACATATTTACTTTATTGGGCAGCATTTCGATGCTACAGCTGACAAAACTGTTTATCATCTTTCATCACGATTGTCCATTAGTGTTTGGAGTGGATTGTATCATGAATTTTTGTATGCTCGAAAAATGACAGGGGAAACTCCTGACTTAATAGTTGGTAAGTTACGCTTTGTAAATCAACAGAAATTGTACTGCATAGGGCTTTTCTCAAATTGCATTTAAGTTTTCTGTTTTCAGTAGATGTAATTCCAAGACATTAATGATTATACCTAAATGGAGTGTTTTAAATAAAAATGTGTCTAACAAATATACCACCAACCACACTTGGAATCAAATACAAAATTATCGCATCAAAGAAGTCAATCGACGGGGTTGTGAGCCAGTTAAGTCGACTGAGTGAAATGCTTACAACTTATATTATGCATTCATGCCTTCCTCGACTGACAGGCGATTTTACCTTAGCCGACATGGGATGCATCAGGTTGGAAATGAGCTAGTGGTGCTCACACGAAAACATAGCTTCATCAATCAATGAAATCCATAACAACAGTTAGTTTGAGTCAGCTAGCCAGTCAATCACCCAGGTAGGGATGTGCACACTGGCTGGTTGGCTGACAGCTTGGGGTCCTTAAGATGGATTGTAAGGACCAACGAAGACTGAAGACAAGTGGTGGTTGTATGTCTCAAAATCGTCATTCTCGATGATGGCGCAGATGCATTCATTCTTTGTGATTTGTCATATCGAATCAAAGTACTCTATTATTCGTCAACAGTACTATTCTTTCCCCTCACACTTGTGTCTATCATCTGTCTTTTGAATTTCTGCTGTCTTCTCTTGCCTTGTGTGTGGTAAATGGGGCGGGGATAAAACGTGGCAGATTTACCTGGTGCATATCTGTGTGAAGTCATATGCTGAAACCAGTCAGTCTGTCATCAGTCCAGAATACTTAATATTCTGAGAATATTATCTGTTTACCTACTGAGTCAGTTCTGTCTGGATTCAACATAGAACTTGGCACCGAAGTGCAGCAGTTCGAGTTGCCACGTTCCAAATAGCACACAGAGGTAGACAAGAAGATGAGTGAAGAGAATCAATAGAGTTTGACAAGTATAAGAGTGAAACAGAATGGGTAATGGTAGAAAGGAATATGAAAGATTACAGAGACTGAATACATCTGCGCCATTGACAACGATTTTGAGCCATGTCACCTATTGTCTCCAGCCATTGATTCCTAGAGTCCCGAGGGCCCCAACCCGGGAGTCTGCATCTCCCTACCTGACTCAGTTTAACTGTCAAGGATTTCATGGATTGATGCCATGTTTTTGTTTGGCCACCACTGGCTCTTTTCCAACCTGAACCTATATCAGCTAGCAATGCCCGTCGGGGGAGGCGGTGGTTAGGCATGCGCAGCACGTGACCTAGCCATCTTAGTCTATGTAACTTTATAGCCTCGTCGATTGATTTTCCCTCTTTGCCCAACACTCTACGCCTAACGTCAACATTACTTACCTTGTTAAACCACCTAACGTGAGACAGAGATCGCAGACATCTATGATCGAAAGCAGTCAACCTTTTCATGTCTTCAACGCGTATTGGCCATGTTTCAGAGCCATAGAGAAGGACGGAGCGAACTGATGAGCAGTACACACGTCCCTTGGTTGATAACCGGATGTCACGCCTACGCCAGAGATGGTGTAAGTCAGCGAAAGCAGCTCGAGCTTTTCGGATCCGTGCTGAGATTTCATCGCCAATCAGTCCGTTGGTGCTAATACAACTTCCCAAATAGGTGAAGTGGTCAACATGTTCTATCACTTCACTCCCTATCACTAAGTTAGGGTTGACGTGTCCAGTCCTGTAGCAGCATCTTACATTTTGCAGGGGCGAATCGCATGCCAAACATACGAAGATTGCTGCTCAAGGTGTTCAGAAGACTCTGCATTTTGTCAGCATCCTCCCCTAACAGGACTATGTCATCTGCATATTCTAAGTCCATTAGATTATTCCCTGGTAACAAGTCGATTCCTAAGTCACTACGTTCAGTTAAGGATACTTCCATTAGCATATCTATGATGAAGTTAAACAGAAATGGGGAAAGTGGACATCCCTGTCGGACACCACTGGTTGTTACCAATTCAGATGACAATTCCCCATAAGCCCTTACACGACTACGTGAGTTTGAATAGAGTGCCTTGATTAGTGCAATGTACTTTCTTGGCACTCCCTTCACAGTCAGACATTGCCATAGTACCTTTCGATCCACGGAGTCGAAGGCCGCCTTCAAGTCAAGAAATATGACAATTGTTGGACGCCGAAAAGTGTGTCTATGTTCTAGAATCTGTCGAAGAGTGAAGATATGATCTATGCACCCTCTACCTGGTCTAAAGCCTGCTTGATTTTCCCTTGTCTGTTCCTCCCGAGTTCTGCTTAGTCTATGCATGATTACTGAGCCTAGGATTTTAGAGACTATGTTCGTTAGGCTGATCCCCCTATGATTATCACACGAGGACTTGTTTCCCTTCTTGAATATCGGTATAATAAGTGACTTACCCCAGTCTGATGGAACTGTCTCTGATTCCCAGACTTTGCCTAGTACCTCAGTTAATCTACAAACTAGTATGTCACCCCCATATTTAAACACCTCCGGAATAATTCCGTCGGGTCCTGCCGCTTTGCCTCGTTTCAAATTACTGATAGCTTTTGTAACCTCACTTACAGACGGCGGACCAGTGTCTATATCCCATTCGGGTGTGTGTGGATGGCGGGGAGGTTCAGTGTGGCTGTAGGCAAGTTAAATTGTTCCTCAAAGTGTTCTTTCCAGCGTTCAAGGCGTCTATCCTGAGAGCTAATTAAGGAGCCATTTTTCTCAGAAATAGTCTCACTTATGAATTGCCTTCTCCCACCCGATTCCCTGATGAGTCTAAAGAGTTGCCTAGTGTTGCCTATCGCCGATGCTTTTTCCATCTCTTTCGCCTTTGTCACCCACCACTGTTCACGGTCCTTGCGGAGACTTTTAGTAAGTTTCCTTTTGTGCAGCTTTCGCTCCTCATTGAATTCGGAGCTCGCCGGAATAAGTCTTCTAGCATCTATCAGTTCGGATGAGGCAGTCGAAATCCAGTGGTTTTTACTCACCTTTGGATTTGCCTTATTCACAGCTTTTACAGCTGTATCTATAGCTGACTGAATATTCTTCCAGGCTTCTCCAGGGTGAGCACAGCTGTCGAATTCAGATATGCGTTTAGCTAGTTCTTCCTCAAATAGGGATTTAGTTTCCTGATCGAGCTGGGGACGTGATGGTTTTACCGCCAGCTGTTTCCTACGTCCGTTCAGTCGTAAGCACACACGAGCCCGGACCAGTGCGTGATCGGTATCTACACACGTGTTCCAGAAGGAGCGACAATCTCCTACCGACCCACGCCAACGATAGCTTATTGCTATGTGGTCTATTTGTGTCCAGCGTTGGTTTGATGATGGGGGTCGCCAGGTTAAACAGTGTCTCTCCTTGTGTTTAAAGTTAGTGCTTACAAGAAACAAATGATTATCTGAACAGAACTGTAGGAGACGGTCACCGTTGTCGGTTCGCTGGCACGGAACTCCATAGGTGCCACCGACATCCTTCTCAGATTGACACAATTTCCCTACTTGAGCGTTAAAGTCACCAGCTAGAACGACTATATCTGAGCGTTTAGCCTTTCTCACCAAACTAGACAGCTTTTGGTAGAACTCATCCTTCGTTTCATCCGAACTGCAGTCAGTGGGGGCGTAGGCGGAGATTACGAAAAGGCATCGGCGAGTAGTGCAGTCCTTTCTCCTTCTTACTGATCCGTTCAGACGGACAGCACACATTCGGCTATCTACTGGGATCCAGTCAAGCAATGTCTTTTCTGCCCTAGTACTCAAGCTATCCCTACGCCAGCTAATCCTCGTGAACTAGCTGTGGCATCTCCTGACACCCTCAAGGTGAATTTTGAAGATTCATCCTGTTGGCCAGGTGGGGTTAGGTGAATAACCACACTTGGGTCTTGTATGCGTGTTTCTGAAACACAACATACATCAATGGCTCGGGATGCCAGGGTCTTAGCTAGTGATGCTTGTTGTCCTATTTGGCAAAGTGTCCTAACATTAAATGCTTTTCGGAGACTATCGGTGGTGGTTTTTTGGCTTCCGTCGTTTTTAGTGGACACAGAGTGAAGAGGGAGTGAGGAGCCATCAAGTAGAGGAGTTGCATCAGTGGGAGAAAGGCGAGATGATAGAGGTGAAGACAAAGATAAGTGAGGATTAGAGAGGTTTTGTGTGCATTTCGGATTGTGAGGGCGATTGTTACTTCCCGGCTGCCCACACCGTGGAAGTTGGTTGCGTGACCGCAGAGCCCAGGGGACAACTGCTTGAGGCCGGTCACACGCGCCCTGTTTTTGTTTGTTCTTTTTGTTTGGTGTGTCTCAGTAGCATATTTATCACTCCTGCCCTGTGACACGGCAGCAGGAAGCGCGGTCGTTGTTAATTCGGGCCCCGAACGATCGGGCATGATATTTTGTGAGTTTGTTTGTGTCATAGTATTGGATTGGGTAGCTGCTTTTTGTCTAACCGCTATCCAAACAACCTTTCTGGTATGGTAGGACCTCAAGAGACATAAGTCTCAGCCAGTATACCTTCTTGGGACATCGCGGTATTCAAGCCTCACCATCACGTCAAGGTAGCAGCTTTCGGTCGGGACTGAGTCAGTTACAACTCACTCTCGGTGTAAATGTTCATTATGAAAGGAAGCAGATATTCCCAGAGTGCAATTACCAGACACATTGTTGATACCGAACATCTCGGAGAGATTTCTAATTCCTTCAAAATATTAAATAGACAAAAGACAGCAAATTTACTACGATTTGACGAAGCAATCGCAATCAAACGACTTCAACTAGACTCATGCTTACAGAAAGAGAGTCTGATTAACCTCTCACTCCCTTGGTAACAGAATTTTGATTAGTCATCTAATTCAGTGATCTCAACTCACTGAACAAGTCTTAATCTCACAAAGTGTAACCGCTTTTGTTTCTTGAGTTGCTATGTGAACCTACAAGCTAACACTGTTCTGTTAATCAATTTTTCTGTTTTCTGTCTTACCCCTCCCCCCTCTTTTCAACTTTAAGAGCGTATAAATTGATGAT